GCAGCACTCACCTTTCCCTGCAGCTGAGGTCCTGTGAATAGAGCAAAGGGCGATACCTTTTCCTGTCGGATCCCCAACCGTTCCTTCGTGTGTTGGATGAAGTAGAGGCATAGCTTGCTGACAAAACCAAACACAGAGGGGAGAGCATTTTGTGATGCTCCTGTGAATGAAAGGTCTGGAATCACAACCCACCAGCTTTTTGGAGATCACTCTTTGGAATTTACTGGACTCTCTGCTATAGGGTTTGCCCATCCTGGTCTACGACTTCTCTGCCTGTGCAAGCTCAAAAGACAACCCGTGAATCCTGGCCAACCCTTGGCCAGAGAACTGTGAGACCTACTACTGGCGCCTCGTTTCCTTGGGGAACGTAATATTTCCTTATTGCGGGAACAAGCTGCTGCTCGTTTGCAGTGAGTGGGACATATAACCTCAGAAATGGCACGAAAGGAAGAAACGGGGAGCAAAAGAAGATGAGCCAACCAAGATATCTTTCCTTAAAAGTTGCAGAACGCTTCCCGTTTGAAAAGCTTGGTTTCCGCTGGGCAGTTCCTGCAGCTCAGAACGTCCCTTTTTGGACGTAGGGTATCTGTTTCCAGCTTGAACCAGGGCATTTTTGAGCTTGGAACATTTTGGGGGCGTTCAGGACATGGCTGGGATGCTCCCTTGTAAGAAAGACCACCGTGGCTCTTTCCAAGCTCAGGGGACATGTTTGGAGCTGGAAAGAGGGTGGCGTTTTGCACTCATCCTCTTCTGGATTAGAAACATTTTGCGCACCTCTGCAGGTTGGATAGGTTTATTAAGTATTTTATTCAATTTGGACGCTGCTCGACTCCAGCCAGCTCTGGAGATTGCCTTTCTCACTATTGAGTGGAAGAGAGAAAAAATGAAAAGGGAATGAGAGTGCCTACGTATGCCCAAGATTGATTGATTGATTGATTGATTATTGGCCTTTCAATGCTGCTCCTCTCCAAATAACTCCAAGCAGCATAAAGTACAGCAGAAATAAAAATCAAAAACTACAGAATACAGGTAGTCCTCAACTTACAACTACAATTGAGAAAGGAACTTCTGTTGCTAAGTGATGTGGTCATTAAGTGAGGCATCACGTGACTGCACCCAATTTTACAACCTTTTTTGCCACAGTTGTTAAGCAAATCCAGCTTCCCCCATTGACTTTGCTTGTCGGAAGCCCCTGGGAAGGTCACATATGGCAATCATGTGACCCCAGGACGCTGCAACTGTTGTAAATACACACCAGTTGCCAAGCACCCAAATTTTTATCACGTGACTGCGGGGATGCTGCAATGGTCATAAGTGTGAGAACTGGTTGTAAGTCACTTTTTTCAGCACTGTCATAACTTTGAATGGTTGCTAAATGAATGGTCGTAAGTAGAGGACTACCTGTAAATAGGAAACAAGGTAAACTGTAATGGTGCTGTTCAACGGAGGCTGATCCCAAGCTTAACGTCCCCCCAACACTATCTCTGAAAAGCCTGGTTTGGGCTTTTTCTCTGCAGCTTATCAGGGAAATGGTGGAGGCACAAAATTCCACGGGAGGGCTGCCCCCGGGGGCTTCTGCAGTCCAGAAAGTCAAAATGGCAACCTCAGCCATGCGATTGAAGGCCTGCCAGCACTTAATAGCCATTCCTACCTGCTCGATCGCATCTCAAACTGCAAGAGGCCCAGCCTTTCAGCTTGTGATGCTACCAGACAGGGACACAATCAGACAGAATGCCAGAAAGGGTCCTTAGATAGGCCAGCGTAGGTTTCCAGCCTATCCATGCCAGACATCTAGACGTGTCAGCTTCTGAGAAGCTAAGCAGTCAGACCTGGGTAGTGGATGGGAGACCATCAGGAGACCCCAGGCCTGTACACAAGACTGGAATGTGGAAAATCACCCCAGGAGGAAACAAGGACTAGCTCCTAAGCATACAATGGGAACATGACCGCCTCATCTCCAGAGTTGGGAACTCCTTGAAGGATGCTGATTACCTTTTTGGGGGAGTGGGGAGGGGAATTCACCTAGGATCAGTGCCCATTAAGTTATTCCTTTTTTGCATCCTTCCTGACTGAAGCAACTGTGATGGAAAACCCAGAGCAACTTGTCTGGCAAGGCCAACTTCCATCAGAATAGCTCCCCCACCTTTCTCAGAGTCTCCCAGTCCATGTGAGATGTTGCCGGTGGTCCTCCCTTGTTCTTCTGGCAATGGTGTGGGGAGGGATTTGCAACCTTTTTGTTGTATGAAAGGGAGGGGGGGTGAAGTAATGTCCTCTTTACTGAGGCCATTGTGGGGCT